CAGACAGTTCACCAAGACACCAGTACCCCTACCGGGTGTTACATGATCAAAAGGCTGAAATTGAGAGGATTATTAAAGAATTATTGGACTCTGGATTCATACAATCCAGTCATAGTCCATTTGCATCACATGTTCTCTTGGTCAAGAAAAAGGACTCAACCTGGAGGTTATGTGTTGATTACAGGTATCTTAATGGCTTGACAATTAAACATGACTACCTCATACCTGTAATTGATGAACTACTGGATGAATTACATGGGGAAGCCTATTTTTCTAAGATAGACCTGAGATCAGGCTACTTTCTTTTTTTTTTTCAAACGATAAAATTTATATAAAAAACAAACACATAATTACAACCGGCTCACTAGCCGAATAAAGGAGGACTACTCCAACAGGTAGCCTAGAACACAACACACAACAACACACACAAAAACTAAAAACCCCACTAATGAGGAATACATACTCCCCAAATTCACACTCCTAAAGACGGAGTAAAAAACAATAACGCACTCAAACAACACAAAACACTACAAACACAACTCAAAACTAAAAACACACTAACAGCACAAGAAAACAATTGACAGAGAAGAACAATCCTAAAACAAACGAAAGCGAACCAACTAAATCCCTCCCCATCTGACGGAAAGGCCCAGAACCACCACACCCCGGACAAACACCCATCGCGAAATACCGAGAAAAGTCCCGAGATCCACGGCCCAACACAAGCTCCAGAAACTCCCCTAATGGGCTAACTAGAGCAGACCACAAAACCTCGAAAGCCCGCCCGATACTCCACAGACTCAAACCAGACCGGACCACTCCGCAGGCCCCCCCACGCGTACGCCGAAGCCGCCGCACCACTGCACAGCCGCCGCCGGAGGGCCCATTCTTCCGAACACCAGGGAAGACCGGGCAAGGGGGGAACCACGTCTAGACCACCGCCATCGACTGCCGCAAGGACGCTCACGACGTCCGTCGGACAAAAGCCGCAAGCGTCGCCCGTCTTCCCTCCCCCGCCATGGCAATCGGTACTAGATTGGGACCACTCGAGGAAGAGGAGACGGAAGAACGCCACAGCCTCGCCGTCGGGCCTAGAAGGAGCCAGATGCTCACCGGAGGAAGGGATATCTAGGGCCGCCGGAGGAGAGGATCACGCGGGGGTGTCGATCGACTAGGGTTAGATGAAGAGGATTTGGGGATTTTTTATCGGGGGAGCACAGTTTATGAATTTTATGTCCGAGATCAGGCTACTTTCAGATCCTAATAAAATCAGATCACATGCATTTGACTGCATTCAATACCCACAGTGGCCAATATGAGTTTTTGGTTATGCCATTTGGGCTTTGCAATACCCTAGAACCTTTCCAGTCTCTAATGAATCAGATATTTAGAGAAATGCTGAGGAAACATGTATTGGTTTTTTTTTTATGACATCCTAGTCTACTTCCTGACTTGGAAGGCACATCTGAAACATTTGGAGGAAGTTTTATAGTCCTAAGGAAGACAAGTTGTATGCAAAGAGAAACAAGTGCCACTTTGGGCAACAGGAAGTTGAGTACCTGGGGCACATAATCACCCCACTTGGTGTGACCACAGACCCACAGAAAATTGCAAGTATGTTGCATTGGCCTGAACCAACCAACATCAAACAGTTGAGAGGATTTCTAGGGCTTACTAGCTATTATAGAAAATTTGTTAAAGGGTATGGAATTATAAGCAAACCCCTTACCAACTTGTTAAGGAAGGACAATTATAAATGGAATGAAGAAGCAAGAAGGTCCTTTAACCAATTGAAGGAGGCAATGGTGACAACCTCAGTGCCAGGGTTGTCTGATTTCACACAACCCTCATTCTAGAGACTGATGCAAGTGGTACTGGGGTAGATGCAGTGCTTATGCAGTAGAGCAGACCCTTGGCCTACATGAGCAAGACCCTTTGTCCCAGAAACCAGGGGTTATCAATTTATGAAAGGGAGTTTTTGGTTGTTCTGATGGCCATTCAAAAATGGAGACATTACCTAATGGGGCACAAATTTATCATTAGGACAAACCAACAAGCCTTGAAGCATTTGTTGGACCAAAAAATCATGACCCCTATGCAGCAAATGTGACTCACTAAGCTTCTGGGGTTAAATTATGAAATTCACTACAAAAAGAGTACAGAAAATAGGGCAGTTGATGCCCTGTCAAGAAAACCAGAGGAGAATGCAAACCTCAATTCAATCAATACAGTAGTTCCTACATGGATTCAGCAAAAGCTTAAAAGCTATGAAGGGGATGCTTTCTTTAAGAAGGTTTTAGAGGCAAATTCCATTGACCCTGCTACTTACCCAGAATTCAAGATTGAAGGGGGGCTTGTTAGGTATAAGGGCAGGCTGTGTATTGGGGAGGATCAACAACTTAGAGACCTAATTCTCACTATGGTCCATGACTCAGCAATTGGTGGCCATTCAGGGACTCAAGGCACTTACATGAGGCTAAAGGGAAATTTTTTTGGGCCTAAAATGAAGAAATAAGTGGAGAACTGGGTAAAGGGGTGTGACACATGTATCATGAACAAGTCAGACAATAGACCCTACCCTGGATTGCTGCAGCCCTTGTCTGTACCAGATCAAGCTTGGTTTCACATATCCATGGATTTCATATAGGGGCTGCCCAAGTCTGGGGGAAAGAATGTGATACTAGTAGTGATTGATATCCACTAAGTATTCTCATTTTATAGCTCCATCACACCCATTTACAGCCCAAACAGTGGAACAGGTGTTCCTTGACACTACACAAATTGCATGGTTACCCAACAAGCATAGTCACTGATAGGGACAAGATCTTTACAAGCACTTTCAGGAAGGAGTTGTTCAAACTTGCAGGGGTGAGCCTAGACATGACCTCAGCTTATCATCCCCAGTCTGATGGACAGACTGAAAGATTGAACAGGTACTTGGAAACCTACTTGAGGTGCATGGTATATCAGAATCCAAAAAAATGGGTTAAGTGGTTACCCTTGGCAGAGTTATGGTATTACACTAACTACCATACTGTTTTGAAAACTACCCCATTTGAGACTCTATATGGCTATCCCTCCCCAGTCATGTCACTTGGGCCCTACTTACACTCAAATGATGCAGATGCAAGCAGGATGATTCAAAACAGGCAAGACACTATGAAATGCATGAAGGAAAATTTGACTGCAACTCAAAATCGTATGAAGGTATATGCAGATAGGCATAGACAAGAAAGAGAGTTCAATGTTGGTGACCAAGTGTTCTTAAAGCTTCAACCTTTTCGACAAAACACAGTTGCTATCAGAAAAAAATTGAAGCTTTCATCAAAATACTTTGGTCCTTACACAGTTTTGGAGCGTATTGGGAAGGTAGCTTACCGATTGGATTTTCTTGAGGGTGCGAGAGTCCATCCCGTGTTCTACGTGTCTCTGTTGAAAGGGAGGGTTTCACCGGGGAAACCCACTTCTCGGCCCTACCACTTGCAGATGATGAAGGGTTGTTTCAGGTATGACCTTCTTGTGTCCTATCACATCGTAACATTCAAAGGGGTGGCCATGATGCGGAACAAATTCTGGTTCGGTGGGAAAACAGTTCCGATGAGCTCGCCACCTGGGAAGATCTGAAATTCATCCAGAAGAAATTTCCTTCTTTTGATCCTTGGGGACAAGGATCGTCTTTTGGAGGGGGTAATGTTGTGAATCAAGGAGAAAAGGCTGAACTTTTGGATGTAAACGGGGTAGAGAGAAAGAGGATCGTCGACGAAACTGTCGAGATAGGGTTCATATTGTGTGAAGAAGGTAAAGAAGCAATTGACGATGAAGATAACACTACAAAATAAATGCTATATTCCAACGGAAAATCCTATGGTAATATATTCCAATGGAAATTCCAACGGATATTCCAATGGAATAGCTTATGTTGGAATAGTTCCAACAGAAATTCCAACGGAAATATTCCGTTGGAATGTGTTTTTCATTGGAATTTTAGATGGAATTTGATGATTCCAACGGCTATATTTCCAACGGTTTTTTACCGTAGGAATTTCCGTTGGAATATGCAAATTCCATTGATTTTTTTTTTTCCACCCCCGTTGGAAAATCCACCGTTGGAATCGTCAAAATCCAACAGAAATTCCAATGGAAAACCCATTCCAACGGAATATTTTTTTTGGAATTTCCGTTGGAATCCATTGAAAAATTCCAACAGAAATAATAGTATTGAAATATCCGTTGGAATAATTCTTTTGAAATATATTTCCGTTGGAATTTCATCATTTTCTTGTAGTGTAAGATGGAAACCGCTCAGTTGGGCTCAAAAGCTAATTTGTCCGAGGAGTTATTTATTTAATTAGTCACTTATGTTATTGCATTTACCTTACCAGATTATGTCTTATTTGGGCCTCTGTTTAGCCCAGTTAGTATTATTATGCCTTAGGGTTTTGATGGTCCATGTGAACCAATATTAAAATGAGAATAGTTCCTCACTAGATGACAAGTTATGTATTTACACAATTCTCTCCCTCGTTTCTCTCTCCTATATGCTACTCTCCCTCTATTCTATTTCGGTACCACTACATGCCCCACCAATTTTTACTCCATGAAGTTTACTCCCTTACGTGTATATGCTGAGTTGGTTTATTATTTAATACAAAATAAATAGTCATATGAAGAGTCCTTAACTTCTCTATCTCTTAACAAATTAATTTATATTATATTAAGAGTCTTTAAACCCTTTTTCATATCTTTCAGCCTGTGCCGTTTTCTACATATTTTTACTGGTTATCTCCTAAGCCGCCATAACAAGGTACTGCTTATAGCTTTATATTTAGATTAATTTATTTCTACCTCTTTAATTAATTTATCATTTACTTTTTTTTTTCTATTGTTTTATTTTATTATAATTAAAAATTCAGAAAGGGTTTGTTAATCATAAAACCACTTTGAAGCAATTTGTTGCTTTATATGAACAAGCCTTGAAAAGAAAAGTTGAGAAAGAGAATATGGCAGATTATGAGTCTTGGAATTCTCGGTTTCATTGCTTGAGCAATTATGATATTGAAAAGCAATTTCAAAGTGCTTACACAAATGTGAAATTTAGAGAATTTCAAGATGAGTTGAGGGACAAATTTTATTGTCAACCTTTTCTCGTTAAGATTGAAAATTCTGTATATGAGTACAAAGTTGAAGAAGATGTAAAAGTTGACGACATCAGGAAAGATGTGACTTTTACCGTACACTTTGATGAATGTACTCATGAAGTTAAATGTGTCTGCCGTTTGTTTGAGTTTAGAGGAATTCTTTGTAGACATATCATGTCTGTGCTAATTGCAAGAAGAATAAATGAAGTTCATCCTCGTTATATTTTGCATCGATGGAGAAAGGACCTAAAACGAAGATATACGTTGGTGAGAATTGGATATAATCCTTTGAGCCAACAAATACAGCGATGTGAAAAAATATGCAAGGCATTTCACGAGGTTGCTGTAATTGCTGCGGATGATGAAGAAAAGTATGAGTTGGTGATGAAATGCATACGAGAATTAAAGTTAAAGTTTACCAGCGATGAATTAAATCAGAAGGAAACAACTCAAGCATTTTCTTCACAACCTCAAAATTATGTTGAGCAACGAAAAGTGTTAGGTGGAGCAAATAAAGTTTTGAGTCCTGTGGTTAATCGAGGGAAAGGGCGCCCTGCTACTAAAAGAAAAATTTCCCGATTGGAAGTCGTGGTTCAAAAGCTTAAAAAAAAGAATCAAAACAAGAAGCTTAAGGAGACTGCAACAAAGAACTTGAAATGCACAAAGGTATAAATGAATATATTTTTTTATGTCTATTATATAATGCATATAAATTTACAGTTTTAGATATATTTATGGATAGGCGCATATGAAAACATTGGAAGCCAGTAGCATATGCGATCCAACTGCTTTTAAAGCTACATCTGACAATCTTGAGGTATAGTAAATTGAGTTAGAATATTATATTCTTTATTGTTAATCTAAGAAAAATATACCATGCTCTTCCCTTTTTTATGTAATACGAACAGGTAAATCAAGTTTCGAATTTTGGAAGATATTACATGCCAAGGCCACCCGATCCATGCATTTATCCCCATTCAATTCAACTTCAAGAAAAGGTAAAACATTTATTTTCTTATGTAATTTTTTAAATCTAACAAAACAATGAAGCATGATATATTCATCTTTTTTTTTTCTTGTGTGTGTATAATGAATAGGTTATTCCAGATTCGACTTTTGGAGCGTACTGCATCCCACGGCCACCCGCTTCACCCATTTATCCTGAAAGTAGTTCGATTCGACTTCAAGAAAACGTGAACTTTCATTAACATTTAACATTATACAATATATAGAGAAAACTTGAAAATATTAATTTTGTAAGGCTAATATGTTCAGTTTTTTTTAGGATCTTTTTAATCCACTCTTGG